CAAATTCTTACAATATTTATTTTTATATTTCTCGCACGTAAAACGAAGTTTGACAAAATATTATATACGACCGTAAGTGACTGTGCACAAAGTTTTTTTTACTTCGTGTTTATTCAGTGGGTAAATTATTCGAGTGTATGAATTCTCGTTTATTGAACACAAACATTTAACTACAAAACACAATAAAAACTCTAACAGAGAACATTCCATGTTCTTCTATAAAAACTAATATAAAATAAACCCAACATTGGTACAGTACAAATTGTTCACGTCTCAAAGTTAACAATTGTTTAGTTTATTAAAATTTCTAGTCAATCAAAATGTGCAAAGAAAAACATAACTCCTAGTCGTTCGTTAAAATCTAAAAATTACTATAAGACACTAACCTACATAAGATTCAAAGATTTCGTAACCCGTAAAACCTTCTTCTGCCCGCACCGCATCAACAGGTAGGTATCTAAAAAAACCTAACCCTTATTTATACATCACGTGTTGGTTAGGTTCGTCCCTGTCATTTTAATTACATATCCATTATAATATTATTATAGGTTATATACAAGGTATTCAAAAATTTGGAAACTCTTTAATTACTGTTTACATGTTTTCATACCTACACATCGTAATAACAACATATAACACTGCTGCACATTATAAGGAAAATATTTAATCACCTCGTTAATTTATTATATCAATTTTATCGTTGATCAGTCCTAATTGGTTAAATGATCGTTTCCAAACTTTTTGATCATTCTGTATAAAACGACGTTTAGAACATCAATTTTTGGTTATATATTTTTTATAATATACGCATTATGTATTCTCTACCGATATATTATATAAAATGAGATCGCTGATTTACATTCAAATTCCTAATTTGTATGTATTTGATTTGGAACAATCATGATTTAAATTTTAATATCCATAAGATATGTAAGGTATAGGTTCTAATCCAGAATTTCATTTTTTTTTCTGAGAAAATGCATATTTTTTTTTTTTTTTTTATTGATCTTAAGCTTCGGCAACTGAGGCCATTAGCTGTAGTAGGATTTGTATTGTAGGTTTGTTTGTATTGTATATTTTGGGACGGTAGGGGGGAACACGTGTGTGTTTGTTTTTGGCAGAATTTCGAATGGGGCACCCGTAGGTTTCTGCCATGCCCCGGGGGTGGGGGATGGCTGCACTTTTTCTCCGGTCACCGCGACTTGTCCGGAGAAAAATGCCGCCCGGTAGCCAAAATGCATATTATTTGGATATAATTATTGAAAATGAGTTAATTAAATAAGATATTAAAATTTTCCTGGCATTATGTCATCTAAACTCATTGTTAATGGAATCACATATTTTTACATTTGGAAAATAGGTAACAATAACAAAAATACTATTTTAAGTCAGTGATTACAAGCAAAACTTTATGGTGGTACAGATTTCATAACAATGCATAGTTAAAATTGATACATTACATTCAATAATATTATTATGCTTTTATTTTTTCTATAAAATGTATTATTTAAATAATTTGATATCATGATATTATAATATTGTGATAGTAATAAAAACATTATAAATAAGTTATTGAAATAATTAATAGTAAGTGATAATATTTGTTTTGAATATTTCAACATATTTAATATACATCTGTAAATCATTGTAAGTGTATATTGTGTTACGTGTTTATTTATCGTATAAAACCTGGCCCTAATGATCATATTATATTATAAAACCTATTAAAATACTATAATGACTAAAAACTAAAATGTATGTTAAATTTTTTTTTTTTATTGTAAAAAAAAAAGACCCTCGGCTACATGGGCTATTGGGCTTACAAAATATATGGTTATTTAATTGTCTATACTTATTCTAATTATAAATTTTTATATCTTGTTTTGAAGATTGGATGCTGTGATGAATTGGATGATGTTGGCAATGGATTAAGGGTGTTAGATTAGTATTTCGGCTAGTGATTCGGGCAAGTTTTGGCTTGTTCGGATATTGTAATATGTTGGACATTCAGTGTATGTTAAATTATTTTAAGATACTAATGTAATATTATATAACCCGTATGGCTGTATATGAAAACAATATAAAATTCATGGTTGCTCCACATTCGTATAGCGTTTAGGCACTATTGTATTTTCGACTATAGAACGCAGGGACGGGACAAAAAAATAATAATAATTTAATAACAATAACGCGACGAAAATATTATGCGCAATCAATCGTCGCGTTTGCGAAACGCAACTGTGGCTGGCGGCAGCGGCGACCCTATATTAAGAAAAAGTCGGCCATTTTGAATTTTCTTTTTCTCGCCCCTTCACAACACAATTCATCGACGTCTTTTGTGAAATTCTCCTTTGATTATTATTATTTTTTTCCCCTGCACCTCGCACCTCATCGTCGTTGTCGTAGTTGCTGTCGTCGTCGTCAACGAAAAAACTTTTAATTGGGGAGAAAAACGGGAAAATTGGAAAAATTATAATGACAAAGGGACCTGGGCAGAGAGACAGAGGGGAAAAGTGAGTAAAAAGGAGGTGGAGGGGACTGGTCTCTGTCTCTACATAGAGTGACGGCCACCCTTCCCCTCACCTACTGGTCTTAACGTGGGCGCGGAGATGCAGCGTGGCTGTGTATAGACGACAAATTTTATTTCTTTTGAAAAATGGCAATAACGATTTATACGCTCTCGCGAACAAAAAGCCAACTTTTAACGATACGGCGGCGTGCATGTGAATGGCAAAAATGTTACCGCCGCACGTGAAACTGTGCCCTAGAAGAAATAATAAACGTCGCCACGAAACAATGCGGAAAAATAAAAGGGTTACGAAAAACGTAGTAATAATTCTCCGCCGCCACGCCGTGGCCGATTCAAAATAACGCCAAAAGACGATCCCATTCTTTCGCTAATTATTTACTGCTCTACCACCAACGTTTAATTAATGTTCACTCTTTTTGCGCTCATCCTCCGCCCCTGGTACGATTCTATAAGCTGAACCACCGCTCAACTCACTAGGCCCAATCACCTAACCTCTCGACAAATTATGTACCTACTTTCACCATTACAATATATATCGTATTCCTGCGAAAACCATCCTTTATACTGACGGAAAGCTACACATACGTAAAAATTGTGGAAAGTATATTTTAATTTTTACAATTTGTCTTATATCGTAGTTAAATAAAATCGAGTTCACGCGTGAGATGAAATTATAATGTTACTTAAGAAAATAATTGTATTATTGGCGTAGAGTTTACCGTCAAATATTTAACCGAATGTTTAATGTACGAAGACTCAAGAACCAAAATACCACATACCAATCATACCATACCAGTTAATTGAAACCTTAAAATTATATCTCCTATCAAACAGCAATAGCATCAACTCCTTAAAGGAAATTAATTTATATAACCTAATATTTATGCCTAAATTAAATGTAAACTAAAAACAAAACAAATGTACATACCTAACCTACATTAATAACTGATGCCCTAGTAGCTGATTTTCGCAAAAACGTTTTCAAAAATGTCGCCCTGAAATTAAAAATAAGTGCAAAACCACAAACCAGTAACCACTCTTTAGGTATAAATATAAGTTTATATCGAATGATTGGTCAGATTATTTTTATAATCACATTATGTTTTTTGATGCATGAATACGAACGGCATATTATGATTTATGATAGACTCCATGTCATATTATGTTAATCGATGAGAAATTCGAATTCATGTAATATTTTATATTTTTATATTATATTTTAATGTAACAACTTAACAACTTAACATACATGTTGTACTATATGAGTTTTAGTATCGTATTAAAATCCTTCCACTACTATTTTTGTACAATTGACTTAGAAAATAATTTTGATGCGAGTTTCAGTGATAAATTATTCTTCCAATCAGTTATAAAATACAAATACTGTTTGCTTTAGCGCATGATTAAAAACGTTAGTTTCAGTTAATTACATTTATCCGACAAACTTCATGATATAATTCTTTTGAAAAAATGTAGCAATAATATTATTTTCAACTGGTGCTGTTCGTACTCGACTCCTATTTTTACTTTTAATTAATTTAAATGTAAAAATAAATTTAACAAGTATTTTGTATAGGAACTATTATTAAAACTTGTTACGCGGAACTTTTTGTTTCTCTATAATCCGTTCGAGTATAAGAGCAATGCATACATTTTTTATTTTTTTTATTTAAAACATACATTTTTTGTTTTAATAAATCACGTTAAACTGATACTAGCTATACGACAATTTGTTTTTACAATAATTATTCATTTTTAATTATATCGATCTCGGAACGGTTAAAAATGTATATAGATATAGTCGTACAATGAGAAAAAAACCATTACTAACCACCGTGCAATTGGCTTTATAATTATGACGATTTAATATCATAACACGGCATTAAACTATTATTACAAAAAAAAAATGTGGTCGAATCATCAGAGAAAAATTAATTCGGTAAGTCCAGAGATGTGTTGAAATACATAGTATTATTATAACCGTGAATGGAATACTTAGTCCCGTCTGATTTCAACGATGAAAAAAATGATCAAATAAAATTACTAGCTTGACCTTAACAGTAATGAACTAATCTAAATACTTTATTACTCAATAATTTAAAATACTTATAGACTATATTGTTCCAACACATATGAGTATTAAGTTTCTAAAACGAATATAAAAAAATATATCAAGCATCAGTAAGTTTACACATATATTTTTACGAAATATATTCAATAACAAATAAGACAAAAGTCCGTTTCCATATTAGTTATTTTATTTTATTTTCACAATTTCCCGTTATTTTAACAGTGTACTAAACTACTGCCTATATAATTTACGTAAGAACAGATATAATTTGTTTGTAAAATATGTATGGAATTACAAATGTAAGCTGTTAAAAATTAAGTTATCAAGTGACTAGCTTAAATCGTTTTTAATGCCACTGGTAGAAAGTATGCCAAATCTAAAGGTCACTTTCATGGCAAGCCGATAATTTTGTTTGGGCGCTTTGCGACATTTCATGTGGGTAATCGTCAACAACACTGCAGTGCACCCAGTACAACATTTATTCCTTGTCTGGATGTATAAAATATTTATTTGTTGCCATTTATGTACATTTTTATAATATTGAACCTTGGCCTTTCCGCATAAGAATCGACGAAAATATTTCAGTAAACACAAATATATATACATAAGTACCTACTGTTATTTTTTTCACAAAACTTTGTCAAGACTATTGCGTACTGCCTACCCGGTAAACGAATTGCGACACGACAACGAAGTTAGATTGTGTTTTTATTAGGGTGTCGGATAGTGGCACGGTAATTGGGTGGCGTCGTCTAAGAAAACATTTTCGATTGAAACGAGTGCGTAATCCAATCACAGTCGTGATAACACATAATAATAAATGCACCCCCTCTTACCCGTTGCCACGTCTATATATAAGTATGCCTAAGAAAACCAAATTAAAAGAGCCGAACGAAATTATTCAGAATTTTAATACACAACGCGCCATTCAATTATACGAGTTTGTTTCACATCAATTTCTGAAATTTTATCGCACTAATTCAATTGCAAGTATGACTGAAAACTTGTCTTATATAAGGCCGGTCCCCGGCACAGCGCATAATCTCTGATAATCATTGAAAACGGTAATAAATTTAAACCGAGATTTCTTACATATCGCATAACGTTACGTCCCGTTGTAGAAAATATCTTAAATTCATATACCATGAAATGCATCTATTAGTACTACACATCCCACATAATATTATCAGTTTAGTAAAACATACACAAGGGTTAAATTGTTCTTCGAATAGACTAAGGGTACCCCTGCTACCTCTTAGCATTGTATACGATACATACCGACGAATTATCGCTGTCCAGCCGACTTTTTTGATTAAACTCGTACCTAATTATAAATTGGGGTTTCTTTTTTCAAACTATGCGGTACGATAACTTTTGTTACGGGCGAAGAGGGTATAATGTAGCAGTGGCGTTTATAGAAATACCGTTGCTACTGAATCCGTCTCGTGTCTTAGTTTCACACGACCTGGGGCAGCGGAGATTTAGAAACACGCAACAACAGTCTCTTATTATTTAATAATATGTAATATAGACAAAGCGGTGACGAAGAATGCCCATTGCACAAATAAAAAGAACCCCCACGAGAACGACGTGGCCGTTGTTGGCAAACAGAGTCCGTGACTGACCTCTGGGCGTCCAGGTGCAACGCCACTTGCAGGGGGCCTCATTGTTCGGCCCTCGTCGTGAGTGTACCTACCTACATTAATTATTAAATGTGCTCATGCCGCGTAAAACAATGGACAACCGGATTTTAGAACCGCGCCGGGCGATATTTACCCAACAAAAGGGTTATCTTGTCCGTCAGTCGTCGCTGGGACAGAGCCGTCGTCGCATCGGATCGGGTAAGTACACGTTGTAACGATACAAAAATAAAAAATATTATAAAATTAGAATTCTCGCTCGAAAATAAATGTTCTATTACACAAAAAACCTAAGAAATATAATAGCATGATAAATCTGAAACCGTAATCGTATTTAGTATATAATATGAGTAAATAAACCTTTGAAATCCAACGGGTTTGGATTTGTGTACATACAATATAGGCACTACAATGTGTAGACCACCGACACACACACAACGTGTACATTAGACCATCACGAGAGACGCGTTGAACTTTCTGTTCGGTTGAGCTATTATTTTTTTCCAATCGGTCGCTGTTAATGCCTGGCTCCGCCAACCATTAATCACTATGGCAACCGAATTCGTTTGGCAATAATTGTATTCATTTTTTCCACTCCCGTAGGTTCGTTTTTAATTATTTTAATTTGTAACGAGAACGAAAAATCATCTTGCCGCTATCCGTGAGCGCCGACCCTCATCTGCACCCGCGCCCCGTCCGCCCGGGTGTAACGTCTTCGAGAGCTTCTACGTATATCCTCCCCGCACCTCCGATTTCCGTGACGCAACCCACCCTCTTCACTCGCACATCCCGATGCCATCTCCGTTTTTCCCGATAAATTTGCCCGTCAAGTGGGTAAAATAATTGATCGTATTCCGACTATCCGTATACAATGAACATAATATAATAATATTATTATACATTATAGCCTGCAAGCAATAATAGCTACTACTCGACTGCTTTACTTAGCACCGTATTTTACCTATAATGTAATATAATTATACGATTTTATCGTTAACCTTTAGGCAAACTGTATTGGAATAAACTCCCCGGGAGTTTTACATTACAACAGCGAACATTGATAGCCATGGGAAACTATAGTAAAATTGTATGTTTTCTTAAAAATAATGATTTTTTCTTCTTAAGATTCCATTGCCTCAATCAACCTGTATAATTTTTATAGATGGATGTGTGTATAAACTGTATAGATGTAGCGAGAAGACGGTCAATTAAAAAATAATAAACCCCTCGAACCCCCTCGCCGCGTCGGACGGGGTATCAATAATAAATACTCGCCTCACGTTCTTCGGGTGGTAAGTATTACGAGCACCGAACAACTCACCGGAAATGCAATCACCACGCAAAACTACATAATGTAACACTCCAATAACACGATGTTATCCGACGCACGCGGTATAATTTCATTTAATGCATTTCGTGCGCTTTTTTCGCAGTGCGCGACTTCCTTATAAACAGTGTTTACCTAAAGTTTATTGTTATTGCGTGCGCTGTGGTTGTTCATAACGAGATTTTAATCATTGCAATTCAATGATATTATTTTTAAATCGATAGAGTAATTTTTTTTCAACTGTTTCGGGTATGCTTTTTTCATTATACTTTTATTTTATCCGTGTTTACGAATGATTTCTCCAGCTGTCATCGACCGTGTCGGATAAACCGTCGTCCGCCGCCAATAACATTGATTAATCAGCGCAAAAAATATTATTTAAACTATTAAATAAATATTTAAATGTCGAATTAAAATATTTAAATCCCCGTTCGAGTTCAAACAACAGCGCGAAATTCGTATGTTTATTTTTAATTAGTTTTATAATGATGTATTTTAATTAATTTGTTAATAATGTATCAGTAATTCTCAAAATTATAAATTAGTTCGTTATCAAATTATATTTTACCATTATAGAAAAATGAACGATTATTTTTATTTTTAGACGATGCCAGGAAGTGAATATCAAAGAGTTTAAATTACTTTTTCGAGCATTTACAAGAAAATAAAAAAAGTTTTAATTAACATACCTTTCAATGGATGCTCGTGCTATATACGCCGAAATGTAAAATTATATACCTATTTTAAATAGCCAACTATAAAAGGTTAAAGAAAAAGCACTTTTTAACGTTTAATGGAATTATCAAAAATCAATACACATTCAACGGTTTTTAATTTAATTAACTTAAAAGTATATTGAACATATTACGGCTTAAAGTTAACATTGAAACCATATACGAACCACAGTACGAAAATTAAATGATGATTTTATATCAAGTACCTATTTGTCTAATAATATGTCTAATAAGTAAAAAGTAATAATTTTTTCAATGTAAAAAAAGTAGGAACAAATATAATAATATCATACAAAATGTGTAACACACGTTTACAAATTTTTAAGACGGTTTTAGCATCCTATCGAGATATCGTTACAAAATAGGCTATTTTAAATAAATTATTTAATATTATACCTATATTTTAACATCAACTAATAACTGTGAAACTTAAAAAGACATTTTCAACCCCTTATCATAATTACGAGTAGTTAATTTGAATATTTCACTTCAAAGCTGTCAATTTTATAATAAAATATAAGGTCAAGATTGATTAAATATATTATATTTTTGAAATCATATTTACTCAATACAATAGAAACTTATTATTTTTCAATAAATATTTATATTATACATAATTCCAGTATTCCGTGCATTTCTAACTTAAGTAAACACAATCACTGTTGTCTGCAAAATTGAAGACATTGAAGCACTAAAAATTAATTAATTGTTTATCTTACTATTGTTTATTTTAAAAATGTACAATAGAATATATATGTAGAATGTTTAATAATATTATGTAGTGGCCTCCAAGTCAAAGGTATATAATATAGTAACGGAATTCCGTATTACTCACCAAAGGGTGGAGCGTATACCCCTGCACATCCAACTAAAACATCACTCATCAGTAGTACTTCACATCAACATTTACACTTGTCTTACAACATTAAAGCAATTTATAATTCTATAACACCTAATACAAGTAATGACTATTACGAGATAAAGGCACACTTATTCTAAATTAAAGTTATCCTCTCGTCCGTTATGACTTATGAATTATTTTATTCCAGTATATAAATTGACCCAAACATAATAAATAGTAATAAAATCATAACCATATAATCTGTAATATGTACTTTAGTATTTTATAATTAGGTACAATCGATTTTCGATTCTCACTCAATATATTTTTTTCCATAAAAAATAACGACAATTGTTTTGAATATTATTGTTAACATCAATATTGAAATTAAATTAATATTTTATAGAATCGCCGGTAAAAAAATTAATTCAAAATGATTATACTTATAACTTTACAATAATCCTACTATAATGGTGTTTGTATTATTATTGAGAAACTATTGTCGTTACTAATTTAGCAACGATCGATCGATATCAATACACATTATATGTTTTAGGTATTACCTCAAGGCTCACAGTAGAAAATTAAAAATGTTCATCATCATCCATCGTCCCAATTTATATGTTGTATACATAATCAGTTTTCATACGAATAGTTTGTTATTAAATGCTCGTAAGTCGTAGACTTACAATGTAAGTACTATTAAATTAAACGAAATCGATAAATTTAATTTCAATTGACACAATAAATTATTCTTTATTTGTATTGGAGATTAATAGTATATACTATATTAACCAGAGTTACTAGTTTACTACATATTATACTTAGTAGTGAGTACAAATGAATCACTCGTAAACCACCTGTATATCTTATAGGCTGTGTAATGCTTAAAAATGTGAACCTTCTTCTTGATAAATACCTAGTTAAAAACATAAATTAAAAACGATGTTAAACCTATAGGTACATCCCATTTTTAATCGTAGCAATAGTCATTAATTTATAGTATTATATAGTATTATATTTAAAAGCGATGACATTGTCGACAAGTAATTTATTGATGTTTCGTCAGATAATCGAACTTATTTATTTTTTGTATCTCCCGACCCCTGGCGACTGACTTTATAAAAAATTACTGTCAAAAGATGACAATTACCTATACAAACTATTTTATATCATATATTAGGTACTTCATATTAATCAGAAAACAAAAAACCTATACCTAATAAGCGACGTAATTTATCAACGTATCCTCGCGGACTACAGCATGACGTCGACGTCCAAGAAATCGCTAGCAAAAGACCAAGACGACGACAATTTACGAGGAAAAGATGTAATTATTGTTTCGGAATTAGTTTCGTTTAGTTTATATATATAATACAGTAGTAGGCGGTGGGGGCAATGATGAAAAAAAACGGTCGCCATTATTCTTACTTAACGGAGATTTCGAAACGGGGGCAGACAAAAAAAAACCAAAGGACGCGGGGATGAATAAAAAGGGTCCGGTATATACGTACAACTGTACATGTATATATATAAGTGGGGAGGTTAGAGAGGGTGTGAGTAGTGGATCGACGCGGAAAAAAAATACACCCGGAGACGTTGGCCGGCGGTGGCGGCGGCGCCTGTCGGGGGTGGTGGCGAACCGGCCGAAGAGAAGATTAAATTTTTACCGACCCACCTTCTTTTCGTTTACTCTCGGGCGGGGGCTGGGGATTTGAATGGTGAGGAGGGTTCCATTAAAACAGAAACCACCCCCACCCGCGAGTCTGCCGCCCAGCATCCTCACCGCCCGCCGGGGCTATTGGTCTTGACGAGCAGTGGTGGCGGCTATACACAACACGACGACGATTCTGCCGCCACCGTTTTTCATATCGCAACTCCGTTTTTCTTTTTAACCCTCTGTACCCCGCCACTGTATTTCCTTAAAATCTTTCAATTTTATCGATTCGGCGGAAGGAAGTGTTGTCTTTTTCCCTTTTGACGTTGTCGTCGTCGCCGTTTCCAGGGAGTTGAATTTTTCTACTCCCGTAGTTATTTTTTTTATTATTATTTTTTTTATTTTATACTACTGTCGGTGCCGGGAATTTTTTCTCCTCAGACAGTTCTGACGCGCATTATTGTCATTTTATTCACTTTACAAGAAAAATATTCCGTACTCACGTCTCGTACATAGATCTTACAGTATAATAGTTCCTCGAGTGTGTTATAAATAATACGAAAAACTTTCCATTCGGTCTCAAATCTAGAGTAACGGTTTTTATTTTTTATCGGAATTGACGTCCAATATAATATACAGCAA